ATTTATATAAAACATATTAAAAATAACATATTACAAACATAAACATATTTTTAAACGTATTTATAATAAAACGTATTTATATAAAACATATTAAAAATAACATATTACAAACATATTAATAACATAATAAAAATTTATTAATAAACAAAATTTTGAAATTTTTTTTTTTTTTTTTGGCCGGGACCGGATGGGACCGGAACCGGGACTGGATTCCTTAACCGGTTACCGGTAAGCTTGACCGGTTACAAGGTATTTCACCGGAACCGGGACCTGGACCGGTTATGAGAGGACCGGTTACCGCCGGTTTTTGTCTTGATTAGGACCGGTAGGGACCGGTCAAGGACCTGCTCGGGACCGGATTTTGGCCATCTCTAGTTGGATCTGTCCCTAGTCAAGCATCAAACCAATCTATAAAAGAGCGACCGGAGCCTAATAAAGGCATTCCGAATTTAGATCCTTGTCCAAATAGATGGTCAATTCGGAGATATGGACGTTTTTCGAACAATGTGTTAAAAGGTTTTCTAAAGGTAAATTATATCAAAAACGAAACTAGCTTTTCTTTCATTCTTATTTTGAAAAACCATGAATTAAAACCTGTATTATACATGGAACAAAAATGGAATCAATGTAGCTTTAGTGTTTATCTGGGAATACGAATCTGGTCATCAAACCTCTCAACTGAGAAACCTTGGTTGCATTTGACTAACACAATAAAATCTTTGTAGAAATGAAACTGTCAAAGGAATTGAAATTTAAAGGAATTGGAATGAAATTTAATCAGGTTTGACCATGTATTTGATAGACAAGAGTTGGAATGAAATATGTCAAAAGAATTGGAATATACTTGTTTGATTCGTTGAACATAATGGGGTCGTGGGGTGGAGGCGGTAGTGGTGTCGACGGTAATTGTAGTAGTGGCGGTGGCGATTATGGTAAACAGTGGTGGCAGTGAAGATAGTGATGGTGGTGAAGACGACGGTGGTAACGGTGATGGTGGTTGCGGTGGCGGTGGTGACAACCATCGTGGTGGGATGGAATGGAATGGAGTATTTAAAATTTTGATATCAGTCAATATTCACTAAAGTTGAGATCTTTACATTAATAAAGTTTAAAGTTGTATTGATAAATCCAAAAAACAATAAAACTAAGTTTAATTACTCAAAATGAAAACTTTAGTAATCCTGAATGAAATACTTAAACTAATATTTACTTGATTGAATGTATCCTTTGCGATATATACAACAAAAAAGGGGTAGAAGCAGACTCGTTCATTTAGTGAACGAAAATTAAATACGTTACTGAAATTAAACACCAACATGGAATGTAGACGAAGATCTAGAAATTGCACGGATAAAAAGTATCATGTCCTTGAAGGTTTTGACGATACTCTTAAAAGTTGTGAGTTCAACAATTGTGTAGCCCCATGATTTGATGCAATTTAATCAAATACTAACAACAATGATGTATGATTTAACACAAAGTAGATGTAGATAATAGGCAGAAATCTTAACAGAACAGTGGGTGACTATAGAGAGAAAATGAGCAGATTTTTGTGTGTTTTTTGCTCAGTTTAATTAAAGCGATTAAATAATTTCTTTTAATTAATCAGTAATTATCATATATATCTAATAAACGCTCTATAAAAAGAAGCTTCGCACCAGTCCCACGACCACACATGCATTGTACTTTCATAAAACCCTCATGATAGGCCAAACACTACTTTCAAAAGCCTATTTGTAAGGATTTTTGTGTGTTTTCTGGTCGATTTAATTAAACTGATTAAATAATTTCTTTTAATTAATCAATAATTATCATATTATCTAATAAACGCTCTATAAAAAAGCTTTGCACCAGTCCCACGACCATACATGCATTATACTTTCATAGAACCCCATCATAGGCCAAACATTATGTAACACCCATATTCCACATTTGCATATAATCATGTATTTCATATATCAGGAAATACAAATAGTACATCTTCAGTCCCAAGAGTACAATAAGCTATATTACAGAATTTACAACAAAAATTTTCCAAAAATATCATCTTGTACATAACTGTTATAGAAACCAGTATTCCCAAAAATTCAACAGATAACACACTGATCTTCAAAAAATCAAGCAAGCAATAGGAAAATTCATATTTTCCCTTCCCATTGGATAAATCTTGACCTGCAATGCATATTTTTTCGAAACACAAAATGAGGGTTAAACTTTGAGGTCTAGTGAGTGTTATAACCCAGATCTGACAGTAGAACGATTTACACTAGAAGATTATAAGAGAAAGTAAACAAGAAGATTAAACAGAGAAATAGCGGCTGCTTT